GGATCGGGAAAGTATCCCTTGATATAATCTGTGACGCTCTGAGCGACCCATCCGTCAAGAGCAAACCTGGAAAGAAACAAAATAAAACATTAATAAGATTAATTTGTAAATTTTTTGTTAATTAAGAAATAAATTAAAAACGATTTTTAAAATTAAAACATACCATAATATGTTGTGGCCATCCCGTCGGATAGGATCTAACTCAGGCAGTCCTTCTCTGCCTGGAAGGGCCATAATATCCTCCACTGTGTACACCGCAAATGGTGCGTTTGACGGCACCTGCAAATCGGGATAACCCCGGCGACCGGTGAAGGAGGAGGAGGAGGTGGAGGAGGTGGAGGTGGAGGAGGAGGAGGTGGTTGGTCAGACCGGGGCGCCGTAGAAACTCGTTGAGTATCGGGAACAATGTCATGAAGATGATGCGCCTGGCTAACGACCGAAAAAATCTCCGTAATGACTCCCCTGAAGAGGCCTCTTAGCCGCCGCCCTCTCAAGCTTGCTCTTTCTAGTCATCTAAATTTTGAAAAAGAAAATTAAAACATTAAAATACTAGTATCTTTAAAAAAATAGTTAAAAAAACTAAATTAACCTAATTTAAATTCCCTAAACTAACCACCTAATCTAAATTCCGTAATCTAATCACCTAACTAGGAAATAGAGACAACCTTAAGAGAATTTAGAGAGAAGATTGCTACAAATGAGAGAAATCGGATGGCTCGAGTTTATATAGGGAATTTTGTTTCCTCGTAAGGCCCTAGTAAGTTTACGAGGAAATAGCTATGCCCGCGTTTAGGGTTTCGAGGCCTTTACGAGAAAATAGCTATGCTTGCATTTTTATTTCCTCATTTTTATTTCCTCGTAAATCCAAGAAACAGTGTTACTAGGACTTTACGAGGAAACAGCCTTTACGAGGAAATAGTTATGCCCGCGTTTATTTCCTCGTAAAGTCCTAGTTACTAGGATTTTACGAGGAAACAGCCTTTACGAGGAAACAGCTATGCCCGATTTTTCTGTTACTAGTGTTTTACGTGGAAAGGGTTTGTAAATCCCTAAACTCGAAACCCCAAACCCCAAACCATAACTTCCTTAACTTATAACCTCTTCTACAACCAAACTCCTAACCTCTTCTACACATAAACCCCAAATGCATATTAATTTTGTGATTAAAAAAATAAAACATACATAATTCAAATTCATTTTTGTGATTAAACAAACTTATAAACATACATAATTCATTCGGATACATTCTCGTAATCTGTTGAAACATCATCATTTTCGTAAAACTCGTCCTCTACACCTTCGTCCGTCGAGTGATCAGGAACATCTTCGTATTCATGATTATGCGGATCAGTGAGTAGGATGTCATCAATTTCTGCTTCAGGTTCCTCGATCTCATTGGTGTTTTCTTCTTGTAATGGTGGTTCTTCTCCAACGATTATTCGTCCTCCAGGTGTAACTTTGATAACAGCTAACTAGTTTATTTCCGAGGTAGTAATCCAAGGGTATGGAATGAAGCAAACTTGATCTGCTTGGGAAGCTAATATGAAAGGCTCGAACTTGTTGTACCTACAAAAATAAAGACAACGTAGAAATTAATTAATACTTGAAACCTGGATATTAAAAAAAAAAAGAATTTGTTGTACCTTCGTCCACCATTGACATCAACTACACCGTTTTTGTTAATCCGAACACCTCTGTTGACGACGGGGTCGTACCACTCACACTTGAAGATAACGCATTTCAAACTCATACCTTGGAATTGAACTTCATAAATCTCCTGTAAGATCCCGTAGAAATATGTTTTGCCTTTCACACATATTCCATAATTACTTGTCGTCCGGTGTCTACCATAGTCATAGGTATGAAAAGTATAGACTCGGGTGAAATACATCGATGATGCAGTGACCTTTGCAACTGGACCTTGAAGTAATTTGCGAAACCATGCGGGATACTCAGGATCGTCGCAATCAACTTGCAAAAAAGTAATAGAACTAGACATTAGACTTACTTTGTGGTAATGAATGCATAAAATTTAAGCTATAATAAATACATGTTTCCTCAACCACTTGATAAAGTGTTGATCTTTTCTTTTGTCTAACTCAGTTGTCGATATACCAAGAATTGCTTCTTCGACTTGAGTCACAAATTGGCTGTAAAATCATATATGTTATGTTATTTAAGACTGAAATATATATATATATATATATATATATATATATATATATATATATATATAAGTGTGTATGTTTATATATTTACCTTTCAAAATAACCAATCAATGGATGCTCGCAATTAAGAAGAATATAAAGGTGTGCACTATGGACGTCTTCATCACTCGACCACCAAACCTCTTTCAATTTCCCACCCAATCGCCCAATTTGACAAAATATGTCTGGAACATGGTCTTCCATATATGTCGGCACAACACCACCATCATCATATCTTCTTGGAGCTCGTTTTCTTGTACGTAATTTCGGTGCAAAGTAGTACGATGTGAAATGTGATGTTTCTTCCGTCAAACTTCCCGCAAAAATAGAACCTTCAACTCTTGCTAGGTTTTTGGCTTTTCCTTTCAAAGTTTTCATGGCCCTTTCATACTGATACATCCATCCATAATGCACAGGTCCACGAATTAATGTCTCATACAGGAGGTGGACAACTATCTGTTCCATGATGTTGAAAAAAGTAGGCGGAAATATTTCTCCAAGTTCCAGATTAAGACGGGGATGTTTTCATGAAGTTGTTGGACATTCAATATAGTGTTCACAATGTTCTCAAAAAAAATTCTTCTCTATATGCATCACATCGAGGTTGTGGCGCAAAAGAAGATTTGTCCAATATGGCAATTCCCAAAATATACTCTTTTTGCCAATTGTGCTGAACACCATAAGAATCATGCATATTACTGGGAACATGCCAATTCCCACCACAAGGAGCTGTTTTTAGAGCACCGTAGTAATCGATTTGCCCTTCGATTTTTTCTCCAGTTAAATATGGAGGAGAAGTGTCTCTGACAACCCTTTTGTGCCTGAACAATTTCTTGTTTCTTCGGTATGAGTGGTAAACGGGAAGAAATCGACGGTGACAATCGAACCAACTAGTCTTCCTACATGCTTCAACTGAAACGCATCTGTCATTCCATTACAATATGGACAAGCTAATCTCCCATGTGTAGTCCACCCAGAAAACATCCCATATGCAGGAAAGTCACTTATGGTCCACAAAAGCATCGCTCGCATCGTAAAGTTTGTTTTTGTTCAACAATCATATGTCCTCATCCCTGTTGACAACAAATCTTTCAACTCTTTTATCAGTGGTTGTAGAAAAACGTCGAGAGATCTTTTGGATGTTTTTGACCAGGTATTAATATGGTCAAGAATAGAAACTCTCGTCGCATGCATATCTCCGGTGGCAGGTTGTACGGTGTAAGAAAGACTCACCCACAATGATTATTGTCTCCCAGACATTCCAAATGGACTAAATCCATCAGTGCATAATCCAAGATACACATTCCGGCTATTGCTAGCGAAATGTTGATGTACATTGTTAAAATGTTTCCAGACTCTTACATCTGATGGATGAGTCATCTCTCCATCTGTCTGAGTATGTTCGGCGTGCCATCTCATCCCTCCAGCAGTCTCCTCAGATTGGTACAATCTTTTCAATCTGTATGTAATTGGCATGTACCACATCCTTTGGTACGGTACCCTATTACGCCCTCGACCTTGCGTTTTGAATCGTGACTTCTTACAAAATCGACATTCTTCTAAGTTCTCATCATCTCCTCAGTAAATCATGCAATTGTCGATGCAAACGTCTATTATCTCCGAGGGCAACCCAAGACTATATACCAATTTCTGAATCTGATAATAAGATTCAGCAGACACATTGTCTTCTGGCAAATACTCTTTAAAAAAGCATGTCCATGCATCCATACAATTTTCAGGTAGATTGTGATCGGTTTAATACTCATCATTCTAGCAGCCAACGACAATTTTGATAGACCTTCTCTACAACCACTGTAAATTGGCTCATTCGCAGCTTCTAACATTTCATAAAACTTTTTTGCATCTAAGTTAGGTTCTTCAACTTCATCATCATCATGTGTTACAAATGCATCACCTACTATATCATGAACCCTATCACAATCTACCATTTGTTCATCTTGGTGATGATAGCTATTTTCATTACGCAAATGATCAACCGGTTCAACATGAAAATTGTTATTACTACTGCTACCTTCATTCCTACAACTAGCATCTTCTCCATGTTGATACCAAATATAATAATATGGCATGAAACCTCTATTTATTAAATACTTCCAAACATTTTTACAAGAGCCTAATTTTGTATTGCATCATTTCCGACAAGGACATAACATCTTACCACTTTCCTGTGTGAGTGGTGTAGAATCTGCTTGATGCATAAACGTCTCCAACCCTTCGAGAAATTCTTTCGTCACTCTCCCGTTATTATCTCTGTGTGAATACATCCACCTCCGCAACTCGAAAATATTTCCCGGACCGAACATTTTTTTTGTCTTTGATCAAGCTTAAAGCTGATTTTTTGGTGTGTTTGAAATGAATCACAAATGGTGGTACTTATAGAAATTTTTGAATCTGAGCATTTACTAGGAAATTGCTAGGAAAAGTAGGTACTAAACACGTTTTAGATATAAGTTAGATATTTTCTATCAAGTTCCTTGTTAATTTGAAGTAAAAGATCATTTCCTCCTAATTTCGTAGTAAAGGGCAATGCTCCATTGTTGATCTTATCGGAACTCCCAATGGTGGAGCAAAGGAGCTGGGTATGGATTGTCATGCTCTTGTTTGGATTCCTCCTTTTATTTACCATCTTTTGTATCACCCCCTGCTTGATTATTTGCTTCCCCATATGCCTCGTGCGCTGCATCTTGAGGAGGAGAAGAAAGTTTGCGGAGGAGATTGAAGATTGGGAAACAGAATTCGCTAAGAACCGAATGAAGTTCAAGGACTTGTACTATGCCACCAAAGGCTTCAAAGATAAGGGACTTCTCGGAAGAGGGGGCTTTGGGAGCGTTTACAAAGGTGTTATGCCGAAGACGAAGAAGGAGATCGCCGTGAAAAGAGTCTCTAACAAGTCTCAGCAAGGGTTGAAAGAGTTTGTCGCTGAGATCGCGAGTATTGGCCGAATGAGTCATCGAAACTTAGTCCCTCTCTTGGGTTATTGCCGCCGGAAGGATGAGCTTCTTCTAGTGTATGATTACATGCCTAATGGAAGTTTAGACAAGTATTTGCACAACAGTCCGGAGGTAGCTCTTGACTGGAACCAGAGGATTATAATCATTAAAGGTGTGGCCTCTGCCTTATTCTTTCTTCACGAGGATTGGGAACAAGTGGTGATTCACCGTGACATCAAATCCAGCAACGTCTTGTTAGACGCCGAGCACAATGGGAGACTTGGAGATTTCGGTTTAGCTCGGTTGTGTGGTCACGGTACTGAACCTGAAACCACAAACGTCGCAGGAACATGGGGCTATCTAGCCCCCGATCACGTCAGGACTGGACGCGCCACAACCGCTACCGATGTTTTTGCGTTTGGGGTGCTCTTACTAGAAGTGGCGTGCGGGAGACGTCCTATCGAGTTTCAGGACAGCGTGAGTGGTGACAGGGTGTTTCTTGTTGATTGGGTTTTTCAGTTTTGGATAGACGGAAACATCTTGGATGCCAAGGATCCAAATCTATGGTATGATTATGAAGTGGCAGAGATCGAAATGGTGTTGAAGCTAGGTTTGTTGTGCTCACAGTCCGACCCAGAGAATAGACCAACTATGAGACAAGTGCTACATTATCTAAGGGGAGATGTAATGCTACCAAATTTGTCACCGTCGGACTTGCGTGGAAGCGAGAGATTGTTGGGAATTCCAGAAGTGGTATTTAGTGAATCAAGCTTGTCTGCCGGTGGGTCTTCAGTTACTAACTCTCTACTGTCTGGTGGGAGGTGAGTTGTGAATATCTGTGTGTGTTTGCATAATTTCACATTATATGTTGAAAGAATTGATCATAATTATATATCATATGTCCAATGTTATACTGTCCAATGTTTATACGTTGAACGGTTGAAATGAATAATTATACATAATTTATATGTCCATTTTGCGGTAGATTTTCCCTTCTGATTAATGCTACATAATATTATCCCGACCACCACTACCAGTGGTTCCTTCACCCGCTTTTTCAGGATACTCATGATGCACACAGTGACTGAGTACATTCCTTGTATGTCTACAACCACCCAGATTTCACAATCGTGTAATCAAACACAGTGGCTATATGTGTTGTCCTAATAAAAAATAAGTTGCAAATTTTACTGTTTCTCTATCCCTCGTTCAAGTCCCTGTTCTTTGTTACCTAGTGATTCATAAACCAACTTGTTAGGGTAACAACCAAATCTAACAGATAAGATTCATAAGAACTAAGGATATAAAAAGTTAAATCAATGTGGCTTCATTGGCTTGTCCAAACGGGTTTGAGGTTTTTAGGGGTATGAAATTTAGCTCTATTCAAATATTCTTAAAGTACTGTTTGGATTTGGTGTTGATTTTCTCGGGTTTGGTTTGGATAAAGGAACACATCTTACACTCGATTAAATTCATTTTAAATTCGGGTTCAGTTTTATTTCGACATTTATCCAGTTATGTGATTCGAATGTACACACTTTAACTCATAAATTTGAAAAGATTAAACAGGTTGAATTAACAAAGTCTTGGTGACATAATACAAAAGTGGCCATTAAGAAAAATGAAACATAAACAAACTAACTTAGCAACTAACAACTGAATAAACGTAGGAAGCATTACTTAAACTTCAAAAATAAATCAACATTGTTTAAAGGAAAAAGGATAGCTAGCTACACCAAGTATCGGCCATCACATGGCTAGCCATGCCAACTAAAGAAATGTATGGCCAACCACACCAAGTATATGTTATGCATAGTAACATCTCCGAACTATATGATGTTGTGTCATCAACATCATTAACTTAATTAGAGTCACCGGTGAAGGACACGTGGACGGCGGACTCTAAACGATGTTAACTCTGCCATTAATACAATTCTAACGAGACCAAATTAATGTAAAATTAATTGACTCAGAACAAATAAAAACCATTCCATTAAACTCAATTCACATAATTATGCATCGTCGATACACAACCATTTCAAGAGAAGCTGGTTTCTTCACCTTCCGCTGCTCCAACTCCATACAAAACCCATTGACAGTGGCCGTTAGCTCATTGACAGTGACCGATAGCTCATTGACAGTGGCCGTAAGTTCATTGATCCGTTTCTTCTTCTCTCGTATTTCTTCTCGAGCTTGAATCAAAGCCATCTTAGGCCAACCTTTCACTTCTTCTTCATCAAGCCACACAAAGTAAGAGCAATGGTCATTCCCTCCTTCCTAACGATACAAATGACCGTAATGTTAGAACCAATCTCATTACAACTTATTACAAAACACCATCAGTTTCATCTACACTTTGTACAATTCACATCCAAAGGACCTTCAGCCAGGGTTCTTATATGTCCAAGCCGTGAAAACCTTTGCAGGCAACTGACAAGCACACACTTTGCGATTACCATAACCTCTGTTCCTATTGTTGCTTGATGAACCCGAGCTTAGATCGATCTATCAACAAACAGGTATATCAATAACATATATTCTAATAATCGATCAGAAATTATACATGTATATACTGGGTTCAACGATTTTACCTGATTTCTTCTGTGTAGATGCTGGACTCGACTTCGATTCTGGTTTACTCTGTTTGTGTTTCACAAAGAAAAAGAAGATGAAAAGATGAAGAAACGTACGTCATTAGGTTAATATTTCAATTGTTTGGGTCGAGTTTGAAATATTGTGACCCAAATGTTTTTTCTATAATATAGTCTGGGTCAATTGATTTTAGGTTAATTTGGTCTGGTTAAAATTGTATTAAAGGGAGAGTTAACAGAGTTTAGAGTCCGACGTCCACATGTCCCTCACCGGTGACTCTAATTAAGTTAATGATGTTAATTACATAACATCATATAGTTCGGGGATATTGCTATGCATAACATATACTTGGTGTAGTTGACCATATATTTCTTTAGTTGGCATGGCTAACCATGTGATGGCCGATACTTGGTGTAGCTAGCTATCATTTTTCCTTGTTTAAACTTTAGAACCAACTATTCATAATCAAAGTTCAAATGCAGTTGTCAAAATTTTAAAAGTAATATTTGATCATATACCAAAAAATATATTACATTAAACTCTGTATTCAGGTTAATTATTCATGCAATAGATATTTTAGGGTATTCATTAGAATCTTAGAGTATTTTTGAATATCTATTCAGGATTAAATTCGGATTTACTATATATAGTGTTTTGGCTTTTGAATTTTTGGGGTATATGTTTAGGTTTGGTTTTTGTTCGATTATTTGCCACCCCAAGTTTCAAGATAAGGCTGATACTGTCTCAATCAAGCTTTCGCTGATTCTCATACGAGCCTACAACCACCTTCCAAAATCTCCGTTTGCCACAATCACAAAGCTTCCGTGCTTGGAAACCTAGTGCCTTTGCATCCTCCCCTCAGTTCTTATGCAGAAAAGCATCCAATATGGGCTAACAGTTTGATAAACTTCTCATCTTCAAAGTTTTAGCAAAAAAAAAAAAAAAAAAAAAAAACTTTCATCATCGAGCATGTCCTGCTCAGTTAAGTTTTATTAGTTTTGTTTTATAGAAGGACAGAGGACAAAAAGAAATTATTTTGTATTTCCACATCTCGTGAAAACTTCTTCCCAGAGTTGAATTAGAATCCTAATATTACTGTTTTTATTCGTCATTTCGTACAAGCCACAACTACTGCAGACAAAATTGGCTACACAACATTATAATTCTGCCATATCATATCGTTATGTGTTTGTAAGTAGTTGATCATCATGTGTATATATAAATTGAGATATTATTTAATAATGTTATTACTAGGATAAGATCCGCGCCTTGCGCGGGATGAAGTTATTATTTTTATTATGTTTTGGAAAATGAAACAAAAGTTCCGTTTCATCTAGATTAAGGATGTTCAATCTGGATATCAGATTTCGGTATTTTGTTTATTAAAATATAACTACTATTCTAAATCCATATTTACTTCAGTTTGATTTGGTTTATATATTGGTTTTCAGTGTATTCAATTTTATACCAAAATACATCATTATTTAGTTTGAAATCATATTATATATTATGAAAATAAATAATATGATCATATTTAGAGTCATATTGTCAAAAAGTCATTTACTAAAAAAAAATATTATATATTTAACTAAAAGAATAAAAAACAAAAAAAGGCTTCTATGATCTAATAAAATGATCAAATCTAGAATTAATATCAAAATAAAAATAAAAACAAAACAGAAGCATGAAAGAAAATTTTTTATATTCTTCCATATTTAGTGTTCACCAAATTAATATGTCTTCGATTGAACACAACTCTGTTTGTTTAAACATTAAAAAAATTGTAAAGAATTTCAACTAATTGTTGTCCATCAAATTTATAATTTTTACTTCAATTTAGTTTTTATTAAAAAAAAAGAAAAAAAGATAAAAAAAAAAAAGACGAAGAAAATAAGAAGCCTCAGTTGCATTAAATTGTTAGTTAATTATATTTCAAGTGATTCAAGTGATTTACAAATCATAATTATAGTTCAACTCATGTAACAAATAGATATACATATTTACATGTTTCAGTTTAATCGATTATAAATAAAACCATATCCAAATCTTACGGTTTTTATAGAATCACATACATTCGGTTTGTATGGTATATACCAAAAATAACCATATTATCGATTGTGTTAATATATTTAAAAAAAAAAGAAAATTAAAAAAAGAACTAATATATTTAAATTATTGATAACAAATTTTCAATGTGAAAAATTTAATACGTTTATAATTTATAAATGTTCTTGAAAATTCATTGAAATTTTTGAAATTAAAATAAGTATGTAATCTTATATGGTATATAGTTTAATCTATATATATATATATATATATATATTTTATTATTGAACGATACTTTTTACTCATATGATTTTAAAATCATGTGTATCTTTTTATAATAAAAATGTTAAACTATTGATCATTAATTTTTAACATAATAATTTTAGTAGTTTTAGTCATTTATTCTTGGTTTTTTAAATTCAAAATATAACATATACGAAAAAAATCTAAAGTTTAATTATATAGCTAATTTGATTGTTTGATTTATTTTAATAATATAAAATTAAAGAAAAATGATGGAAGAGATACAAATTGTTATCAAATATTTATTATTAGAAACATTAATTGTCAGATATATATTTGTCATTTATCGTAATTCCGTAGCTTTTATTTAAGGAAATAAAATAAAATAGTAATTATATCTAGCAGGAAAATCATAAATGCTTCTATCATAAATATCATATCATATAGTTTGACCAACAAATATATCTAGCGACATATAAAAATCGAATGTGGACCTACTTATTTTTCAATTGAATGTAATTGACTATCTAATTGAGTGATACGTAAGCATAGGCTCTTTTTAATTATTACAAAATTGAGGTTACAATTTTTTAAATGTTTCTCAATTAATATATAGGAGATTACTCAGTGTTAAAAAAATACCAAAATTAAACCAATATTACATATTCTGGTATCGGGTTTAGGGAGAATATGACTTCGGGTAGAACCACTAATCTATAGCAAATCCACATGTTGACATCAGTTTTTTTATAGGAAAATAAAAATGAAATCCTACGGCTCGTATTATTGCAGTTATGTAGTCTAACAGATTAAATTGAAAGTTTATTTAGGGTCTGACGTCATCAATACTACCATCAACACATCTCTTTCGTTTTTTTTTTTTTCTTGAAACGTCACTAATGTGTTCTCTCCTTCTTTCTTTTGCTAAAAGACACAACCTTTCAAAGTAGGATCTCTTAATAGATTTTATCATAATCGCCATTATAAACCATTTATTTGTTATAGATTTGTGTCTTTTTTCTTGTTGGTTAGTTAGATATGCTTGATCTGATCAGACATAACCTTTTATACATCTTTGTAATTTCCAAAAGATGTAGTATGACTGCCTTTAATTAATTGTATTTGTTGTATATTGATCCCAAATTTCATTTTTAATTTTAAAATAAATACTATACAGTAGTTACAATGTTGGAACGCTATGTTGATAAAAACTCTCGGAGGTGAAAGAAGCCAATATGGCATACAGTAAGATATTAAACTGATCGTGGGAAACAACAAAATAGGAAAAGTAGCGTGACTATGGAATGTAAAAATTCTAAAAATTGATAGTGAATTATAAGTTAGTTTTTAAAACTATAGTGAAAAGAAACTAAAATAAAACATAATACCAACTACAATTTGTTAATATAGAGACTAATTGTTATTGGGATAAATTTGTAATCAGTACATTAATTAATTTTTACTAGATTTTTATGAAGGTAAAAATATATGTTCAGTGATTCTAAAGTATGGATTGTTGTAAAGCACTATATATAAAAATTGAGTAGCAATCCTTCATAAGTAACAATAAAGAAAAAGTAATAATAAATAGTAAATAATAATAATTCAAAGAGTAAGTAATAATAAATAGTAAGTAATTTATTATTACTTACTCTGTAATTTATTATTATTTACGTGTTGGTAATATTTTTCTAATAATATTGATGTAATATTTGAAATTTGAAGTGAATCTTTACAATGAAACTTTGTAATATGTTCAAAATATATTAACACCATTAAAATGGAAAACTGTAGTTTTGATGATTAAATGTTGCAACTGTGCAAAAAAATTAACAACTGCTAAAATGAACAATTATAACTTATTATGATTAAACATTGCAATGGTTGGTGACCAAAACAATACAACTTTTAGTTTCTATGTAAAAAAGTTGTGGAATAAACATACTTTAATGGAGACTAAAATTTTAGAGTTGAGTTGGACAACAAAAGCTTAAGAACCAAGTAAATTTTCTTAGAAAATAGTTGCTGTAAAAGGTTCAATATATAACATTCTAGAAAAGTACATCATTGGCTATTTTTTTAAAAAAAATATGTGTTGTTTGAAAAAGAACCTCTTTAGAGAAGAGTTGTAACAAAACATAAGGCATTTAAACAAAAAAAAAAATTGGGACCATTGGATAAAAAACACAATTATAACTGTCAGATTGTAACTCTTTAAATTATTTTTATAAAATACAAGAATTATGAAAAGACATATATGTTACTAATAAAGAGAAGTGTTGTTTCAAATAAATAATTGTTCAAAACATGAGTATTTTATGTCTATCTGATCATAAAAGGATCAATTTTTAATGATGAAAAGTTATGATTGTAGCTTTTAAAAGGTGTGTTGTTTAAAATAGATGACTGTTGAAAGAAGAGTTGTCAAAAACACTGATAACATCAATATTCATAGCAAGAATGTTCAAAAACTATTAAATCATAAAAGATAATTCTGACCATTAAATCAGATTTTTTTCTATAAAAAAAACTATGATGTCATAGGAGAACAAAATTAAGGTTTCTATTATAAAAACAACAACAAACAAGGAAATAACTAAAGAAAGAGAAAATATGAATAGTCGTTTAAAACTAATAAATTTAAAAGATTTTTTTAAAAATTATTTGAAACTAATAAAGTTTGGAAAAATCTTTAAATTATTGAGAAAGTATAAAACTCAGTTTGTACCGATTGTCGCTAATGTGAAGTTTCAAAAATACATTTACTGGATTGTTACAATAAATAGCATATTAATTAAAATGTAAAGTGAATCGGTACAATGAAAGTTATTTGAAAATAATAGAATTCCGAACAATCTTTACAATATTGAGAAAGTATAAATCTCACCGATTGTTGCTAATGTGATTTCAAAAAATACATTTACTGGATTGTTACAATAATTAAAATATTAATAAAAGGCCTATTTAGGTGTATATACAAAAAATGGTCGGTAATTAGGTAGATGGTCATAACTTTTCTATATTTGCAGATCTGGTAAGATAATGGTGGTGTAATGACATTAACATCCTTTTCATCGTGTGTCAAACCTATCAGCAAATAGTAACTGTCAGTATATTGTCAGAATACAATAGCATGCTAATATGTATTTACGAGAGTGGCAAGTAATATTTATATTTTTGCATTTGTAGTATTTGAGATATACATATGTTAAATATCTTTATATTTGTTTCAATATCCGGCTGGAATGTTGTGTTCTCGGTTATGGAATTTTAAAACCAAATATATAAGAAAAGACATTAAAATCGTAGCCTATATAATCTATATTATAATGATACACTTTCAAGGCTCCTAAAGCTGTCAATGTCAGCAAGTTTGTCGGTCCCGTATATTTAAATTTTAAAAGCTTAGAGTTTGTTACAAATGAATATGAACAATGAATATACTTTAGCCCAGTGGTATAAGACATCTAATGAAGTCCACAAGTGTGTGGGTTCAAACTGCGTAGCCGTTATGTATTTTAGTTTTTTTTTGTTTGAATTATTATCATATGGTTTTTTAGTTTTAATGTTCTAATATTTTTTTTCCTCTAGACTTATTTTTTAAAACGAAAAATAGTGAGAAAAATCCTAAAGTTTGACGAATTCAAACCCAAAACAATTAAAAAAGGATCAAAAAACAAACAGTTCAAAAAACAAAAAACAAAATGAGTCCCACGTGGCACTATCATGTCCTAATATATATTTTCTGTTAGAACATATTTTCTAATATATATTTTCAAAAAATTATGTATGTGAAATAAAATAAAACAACAAAATTTAAGTATTTTTTATTTATAGAATAACTATGTAATTTCTCTCAATTTTTAATAGTTACTATAATTTCATTTTTATCAGACTCCGGCGAATGGATTTCCACACTCGATGACGCCGTAAATAAAAATGCCAAACAACAAATATTAGTTTAAACTAAAGTTATTTTCAAATTGATAAATCGTTTAGTACAAATATAAATACTATAAATAAATAATTATATCAAGTTTTGACCTTCGATATAAAAACTATTTCCAACATAAAAAAATAAAAAACAATATAGACACTTATTATTATACACTAGAAACTATATTATAATTTAGTTATTCTTATAAATCTTACATCGCATATAAATAACTTTTAACACATTATATATACAATATTTTCACTTTACACTCTACATTATTTCCATTTCATCCCTAAAAATAAAACGAGTCTCACGCGGCACTATCATGTCCTAATATATATTTATGTTAGAACATATTTTCAAAAAATTATGTATGTGAAATCAAACAAAACAACAAAATTAAGTATTTTTTGTTATCTATAAAATAACTATGTAATTTCTCTTCAGTTTTTAATAGTTGCTATAATTTCATTTTTATCAGACTCCGCCGAATGGATTTCCAAGTCGATGACGCCGTAAATAAAAATGTCATATTATTCATAAACAAAATCCAAACTTACAAAAAAAATATCCAAACCTATCTATTGAAACCCAAACAACAAATATTAGCTTAAATTAAAGTTATTTTCAATTTGATAAATCGTTTAGTATAAATATAAATACTATAAATAAATAATTATATCAAGTTTTGACCTCTGATATAAAAACTATTTCCAATTAAAAAAAATAAAAAACAAGATAGACACCTATTATTATACACTAGAAACTATATTATAATTTCGTTATTCTTATAAACCTTACTTCACATATAAATAACATTTAACACATTATATATATATAATATTTTCACTTTACACTCTTGCTACATTCTTTCCATTTCATCATTATTTGGTATTATTAGAATAACCCATTAAACCAACAACCGAAAAAAACACAGATAAACATCAATGATCCTCAGCCCCGCGCTTGCGCGGGGGGTATGCAACTAGTGATTCATAAAAGGTACTCATTTGTTTGAAACTAGTCTTCTCACTTGAATACATAGAAGCTCCTACCTTATTAATTAATTATTTTTGAGACAGTACTACTTCTAACGAACAACACGGTCATGTAAGAACAAGACGATTAAATGGTACTGAACTAACACGCATGAATGGTTGAGTATTGAATTAAAATTGACGATGAAAAAATGTCATCTTAAGTTATAGTTCATCCTAAATGATTATAATTTTTATAAAAAAAATGATTATGTTCCTAAAATAAAATAACAGTTTGATCTTTAAATACAAAGAACAAGAATGAATGATTTATAATGGAAAACAAGCTTAGTAGAATATATTTAACGAAAATCATTATGCAGAAATATAAGACTCCAAATTAGGGTGATCCAACAATAGCAGTTAGCAATACATTAATATGTGTGTAACCGGTTATGTTGTTTTAAACCGGATATGTTACAAGATATATTAAAATCATAGCCGGATTTATGTTCGCTGACTGACTATATACATACAAACTCTCAAATTATATAATAAGATATTAATAGATATTTGTTTTTGAAAAATCACTTGGATCGAGCAATAGGGTCATGTAAAACCAATAAAGACCACATATGGTCATCAATTAAAATGCACGGATGACTGAGAATTGAATTAACATTGACAATATAATGGCCAATCTTAAAGTCATGATTAATGGCTAGCCTTATATAAAATAATTAGGAGGAGTTTTGCACCAAAAAATAATAATTAGGATTACTATGTACAAAATCAAAACATTTAATATAACAACAGAAGATATAAAGAAGCAGCTGAGATGTGCATTTTAGAGAATATCAAGACTAGAGAAGGAGCAAAAAATGTTTGAGATTAGAAGAGACTATATGATGAAAACAAAGAGGAAGAAGAGTTTCAAAAAAAAAAAACAAAGAGGAAGAAATAGATGTAGGCGTATAGTTAGATACATATGAAGAGAGAGACAGTAATATCAATTGTCAAAGATAGATAGAGGTAGATATGTAGGGGTACGCTTGGGTTTATAGAATTTGCACAGTAACTTATCCATATAGCTAATTATACTTTCTTTCATAGTCATCTAGTGCAAATTCCCTTAATAAAATGTGTAAAATCTTATTACATTCAGTTTTCAACAAAATGGGATTTCAAACATTAAAAATATTGAAACAAATAAAAAGGAAAGAAAAAGAGAGAGGTATTTATCACTCCAAATGATTATAAATTATATTGGGTAAAACGAATCATTATTTTAGGATACACCATATCAATTGTGTAATTTTTTCTACGATATTAGAGCATCTCCAATGTAAAACTCTATTTTTTCCTCCAAAATGAAGTAAAAGTGATTATGGAGTAAAAATGCTCCAACCCCACTCTATTTGTAATTCCATAATGCAGTAGTGAACAAACAAAAAATAGATTACTCCATTTATGGAGTAAATCTCATTATAGAGTAAGAAATGAAGTGGGCTTAGAGCATTTTCTACTCCATAATCACTTTTACTCTATTTTGAAGTAAAAAATGGAGTTGGGTTAGAAATGCCCTTAGTTCATCATGAAGTTACAAAGCCACTAAAAGTAAGAAGTTTGTACTAGAAGCATTTTAGTAAAGGTATAAATTCTATCCAAATAAATATTTTAGTTTCAGTCATCCAATTATAACAAATACATAGTTTCTTTCAAAATCACATTATTACGCACCATTTTCATTTTTAAAATGTTATGTATATAGTTAAAATTTTAGATTACAGTTAAACTTCAATAACATTTCCCCTGCGAACTGCGGGGTCAGAATCCTAGTAATTATAAAAAAGAAAAAAAAAACCGCCAATCACGTTGAATTGATCTTTTGTTACTATCATCCCTCACACCGAAAAGAGGACACGTACTTTAAAGTCTTGTCTTGTTTTGGGTCAATGTCTTAATATTCCACAATATCGAGCTAAACGAGGTCTCCCCTTGACTGGAAAAAAAGAACACTAAACTTTCTACACTTTCAGCACCATAAATTAAGCTAAAACATTTCTTAAGAAGATAATACAGAGCCATGTTCGTGAAGCTCCTGACCATTGTCTTCATCTTCCTCAACCTACTCTCTCAGTTCCCAAAATCCTCTTCCCAACCTATAGACTTCACTTACAATGGCTTCCTTCCTCCTCTCACTGACATATCCCTCGAAGGAATCGCCACCGTCACACCCAACGGTCTTTTGAAGCTAACCAACTACACCATGCAGAAAACGGGTCACGCCTTCTACACCAAACCAATCCGGTTCAAAGATTTTCGAGACAGCACCGTTTCTTCCTTCTCCACAACTTTTGTCTTAGCTATTCATCCGGAGATCCCGAGCCTTAGAGCCTACGGCATGGCTTTCGTCATCGCTCCCAACCCAAGGCTCCGTTACGCGACCGCAAGTCAATACATGGGTCTCTTCAACATCACAAACGACGGTAATGTCACTAATCATGTGTTCGCTATAGAGTTTGACACGATCTTGAGTCCAAAGTTCAATGATACCGATGACAACCATGTCGGAATAGATATCAATAGCTTGATCTCCGTGGAGAGTTCGCCAGCTGGGTATTGGGGCATAAAAGGTCAGTTCAAGAATATGAATTTGATTAGTGGCAGACGGATGCAGGTTTGGGTTGATTATGATAGTCATACCCATCAAATTGATGTAACAATGGCTCCCTACAAAAAGGACAAACCGAAAAAACCGCTTGTTTCTATCGTCACAGATCTGTCTTCTGTTCTTTTGCAAGACATGTTCGTAGGTTTCTCGTCTGCGACCGGTACTATTATGTCCGAAAATTATGTTCTCGGGTGGAGTTTCGGGGTGAAGGGGAATGCTCCGCCGTTGGACCTATCAAAACTTCCCAAACTTCCGAAGTGGGAGCCCAAAAGAATATACAGCATCTACAAGACTTGGATGCCATCAGTTTGCATATTTTTGATTCCCTTCTTGTTCATTTCCACGCTTATCATGCTCGTGCGCTTTGTCTTGAGGAGGAGGAGAAAGTTTAAGGAGGAGCTCGAAGATTGGGAAACAAGGCTTGGGAAGAACCGAATGAAGTTTAAGGATTTGTACTGTGCCACCAAAGGGTTCAATGAGAAGGACCTTCTCGGATCTGGTGGATTTGGAACCGTTTACAGAGGTGTCATGCCGAAGACAAAGAAAGACATCGCTGTAAAAAGAGTCTCGAACAAATCCAGTCAAGGGTTGAAAGAGTTTGTGTCTGAGGTCGTGAGTATCGGTCAGATGAGTCACCGGAACTTAGTCCCTCTCATGGGTTACTGCCGCAGAAAAGACGAGCTTCTTCTGGTGTACGAGTACATGCCTAATGGAAGCTTAGACAAGTATTTGCACAATCATCCAGAGGTAACTCTCGACTGGAAACAGAGGATTAAAGTCATTAAAGGTGTGGCTTCGGCCTTATTCTACCTTCACGAGGAATGGGAACAAGTGGTGGTTCACCGTGACATCAAAGCCAGCAATGTCTTGTTAGACTCGGAGCACAATGGGAGACTTGGGGATTTTGGTTTAGCGCGATTGTGTGGTCATGGGTCAGACCCTCAAACCACTCTAGTCGCTGGAACATGGGGATACCTAGCACCTGATCATGTTAGGACAGGACGTGCCACTACCGCTACCGATATTTTTGCGTTTGGGATGCTTTTACTAGAAGTAGCATGCGGTAGACGTCCTATCGAGATTCAGAACGATAATGGCGATAGTGTATTTCTCTTGAATTGGGTTTTTGGATTTTGGAACGAGGGAAACATCTTGGATGCCACAGACCCAAAGCTAGGGACGAATTATGACCGAACAGAGGTCGAAATGGTTTTGAAGCTAGGTTTGATGTGCTCTCACTTCAACCCACATGCTAGACCAACTATGAGACAAGTGTTGCATTATCTCAGTGGAGATGCAATATTACCAGATTTGTCGCCTTTGGACTTGCGTAGGAACGAAATGATGTTGGAAATCAACCATGGACTTAGCGAGACAGGCATGTTTACATGTGGGTCTTCGATGGTTAATTCCATTGTCTCCGCTTCCAGTGGGAGGTGAATTTTAAATAGTAGAATGTTTGTGACTCGAGCATCCCTAGTGGTAGGAGATACTCATTCAAATATCTCTCTATAAATAATAAAATTAGGACAAGACATGCGCCTTGCGCAAATTGAATGTATGTAATTAAATATAATATTTTGCATTGACAAATTTAAAATTTACATATGATTGTTTTTATATGTATAGAAATTTTAGAATTTTCGAATTTTTTTATATAATTATCTATACGTAAGATCAGTAACAATTGTAATTAGAACTCTAGATCAAATCTTAGAATTTAGTGGACTTGATTTCATATATTTTTTCACTTTTCAGTTTTCGCGTGATGGAAAATAAACGGAGTGTCAATGGGCTTGATTGGTAGAGTATTAGCAAGTTCCTTAATGTTTTCTTATGAAGCATTGGTAAAATATTTGTATTTAAAATATATAAAGTTTCAGAACTAATTCAATATAACTTATTTATTTATCTAATAATATTAGAAAATATTATTTTTTACAATTTTTAAAAAATAATTTTATAAAAAACTAAGTTAAAATTTAAATTATTTTTAAAAAAATATTTTATGTTTTCAAATAAAAATAAACAATTTAAAATTAATTATGGTCTTGATTTAGCATAACCATAATGATTTAAAAAATTTAAAAATTTAAAAATTAACTCAATTTTATATCATAATTTAACAATTTAAAAATTAATTATGGTTATGAGAAGTTTACGTTCCCGTGTCAATCCTATATATCTTCAATTTTTTCTCTTGTTGTGTTTTTTTTTATTTTGGTTATTACTCGATATAAATATTTATTTTGAAGTTTATTCTCATTTCGTATGTTTGTTTTGACCTGGAATTTAGAAAATACTTAAGATTTAAAATAACTAAAGAGATACATACTTAGGTTAAGATCTGCACTTTATAGACGATAAGTACTTTATATTTATTATTTATTTTATATTTTTGAATATAATAAAATAATATATATATATTAAATAACTAATAAATCAGTTACTATTATGTAATAAATTGGTGTATGCATATATATTTAACTATCACTCTTGTTTATTCACAATTAGGATAAATAAATCAAAATAATCAATCTTATATATTGTATATGATATATAATTAAATTTAAATGATATAAACATACTAATATAGCACACTTTTAATATAGATATTTATTAATTGAGGTTTCTACTCATATGATTTTATGATTATTTGCATATTTGTGTAACAAAACTTTACACCAACGAATTGTTTTTAATGTGAGATGTTTAGTAATTTCAATAATTTATAATCATTTTAGAAAACAATGACATATTTGAAAATTAAACTATTAACTTTTCAATATATGTTCAATGCAAATATCAAAATATAAGTATGTATTTTCATACGATGTATAGTTTAAATTAAACGATATGAAATATATATAAACTAAAACTATATCTTCATATGGTCTTATAATCATTATATTTTAATATAGTAAAAAAATTAAAACCTTGATCCTAAAAGTTTATGTGAGATTTTTAACAGTTTTAGTAATTTATACTCATTTTGAAAAATTCGAAATACAACATACACAGGAAAAAATCTAGATTAATGTAATTGTGTAATTTATTTTAATAGTAAATAAATAAACAAAATGAGAAAAAGTATACACTGTTATCAAATCTTTATTGTTTAAAATCATTAATTATCATATATATATATATTTTAATCACATTAGGTAATTCCGTAGGTTTTATTTAAGGAAAGCATGCGAAACAATAAATAGTTGATATATGCGACCAACTATAGCATAGGAAATATTATATTGATAAATAGTATAGTTTTAGACTATATATTATATTACATGCTCTAGAATAATTCTAAATTGAAATAGAAGACAAAGAGATATGCCACATAGATTGGGGTTATTTTTAATTATTACAACTTAAGGTTACAACTTTTTAAATGATCAATACCATTAAAACATGATCATTCCTTTTAATGAGTTTTTTATGTTTTCCGAAATTACCCTTAATGATATAAACAAAATTTTATTTTCATTAATGGCAATATAATCTTTTGGTTTTTGGGCCTAAAAACAATATAATAATGGGTTTCATTAATGGACTAAATTCACCCTCTAATTATTTATGAAATTTATTTCAAAATAAAACATATCAGCCTTAACTAGCATAGTTAGAGCTAAGAATTTTGATATTAGACCGCGGGTGCAGGTGAATTGTATTTTACGCGGAATGGATGCGGGTTATTCTAATTTCAATTACAGGTATCCGGTAATCCGCAAAAATATATTTTTTTAAAGTTTATTTTTCAAAAATATACTAAATTTTGTTAAGATAATTATATTTTTAAGTATTAAAAATTTAATTAAAAATATATTTAATATTATTTTTTATAAAAATATAAAATATTTTTTTATTATTTAATAAGTATCTGCAGGTTTCGAAGATTATCCCCACAATTAAGTGGGACAAATGTGGATAAAATATATTTTCTTTGCGGGTCAGGTGGGGCAGGTCGGGCAGGTCGGGCAGAGCGAGTTTGACCCCTTTCTCAGCATCAAACGTAGTTAATTGATATTATTTTTTTCAAAATAAAACAACATAATTATATACAATACATTTACATAGATATCGTTGATAACAATAAATTAAAATTTGCATTAATTTTTTAAATTATATTAGATAGTAACATTTCATATCATCAAAGCAAAAACTTCTGTCGATAAAACAACAAATATGGTATCTGTACTTTTTAATCGCGGATCAAAAATCTAGTTCTCTTTTAATATATAAGAGATATCAATACTTTTCATATTACGTAGCTATATATTTTAAGTTTAATCTTTTTGAATAAAATTATCATTCAAAGATTGAAATCTGTTCCTATTGGTTCTAAAGGAGCGCTCGGAGTCTCGGGGTCTAACAAAACCTGCCTTCTCTCCCACTTTCAATTTTTTAATTAATTTGTTATTATAGAGTTAGACTAGAACTCTAACGAGAGTAGCGATGGAATGGACATGGCCTTACATTACAGATTGTAGAAATACTATCGGCTTGACAAAAAAGAATACTATAGGCATGAGATATGGGACCGTCTTGTACGTTGATTTGTAACTTTAGACTTTATGAACGTGGAAGACCAGTTTATGCTTGCATTCAGTGGAGTTGATAGTTGATTGATGCGCCGCATGGAATGAAAAGATAAATTTGAGTTCCCACTCACTTTCAAGTTGGAGAGAGAGTCTTCTTTCGCATAATGTCCCATTGGGCCAGAGTATCTCTGCCGACGATGGTAATGAGCACATTTGACATTATAATTTGTCTACCACCTGTTCATGTGAATAAACAAGAGTGGCAATGGTTCACTGAATAGTTTTTTATTTACATCTTGCTTACCTTACCACGATTACAAGAGGTCTATAAATAAGAGAGAAAGAAAGAGCTACATCCTAATCAAATAAGATCAAAGGAAGAACTATCTAGATCATTTACATGTGCAAACAAAAAAAAATCTTGTGCAAATTCAAAAAGATCTTCTGATGAGTGGCAAGCTGGATACCACATCGGAAAGGTTTACTCTGACCATAACTGGGTCGAGAGCAATCCTGAGTCCCATGTTCCTTGCTACTGCACCGGCCACAAGCTCCCATGGACTTCCAACACTCACTAGGGTGAGTTCTACCAAACTTAGGACACACAGATCTACCATTCGAGGTTTTACCCTAACCGACCTGGTCCCATTTCCTCTTGCGATCATTGGTACTGCTGGTCGGGGCAGGCTGTAAACGTGACCTAAGTCTAGCCTCCTCATCCAGATTGGTTTCCAACATCACCATCCTTTCAACCAACTCAGACACGAAGTGAAAGGTCCGAATCGAGTAGTGTCCTCAATTCCACTCGCAACCCACCAATGAATCGATGAACTTAGACTGCCTCGTCCTCGAGTTACCTTCCCACAAACCGCCTAAGCCGGTTGATTCCTCGTACTCCCTTACTATCATGTGGCACTGGGTTAGATCTAAGAAATTAGCCTCCAACCTGTCCCAAGCCTCAGTAGGGAAGTACTTCCGGCTGAATTCAACTTCAAAGTCTGGGAAGTCTCTGATGTTCCCGTTGGTGCGCCTATCAGAGCTAGCCACCAGTTGTGCGCGTCCCCTTCCAGGAACTGGACCGAAATATCCTTTCGATAATCTTTTGGGAAACAAGTAGATTTGAAGTTCTGGACCAACTGAACCCTCCACTCGTCTGCCTCAGTAGGATCGATGGTGTAATAATCCTCCCTTCGGGATAAAATGGTCGTGATCGACAATTGGAGCCAAGCTTTTCGGAATCAAAGTGTCTCAAGGAATGTTGAGTTTTGATCATATAAAACTTATCATCGTTCAGAGAAAATAGAAGACTGATTGGGCATCTAATTGGTGGTCGAATCGTGGGCGATACAGACTGATAGAGAAATATTGAAGAACAAGGTGGTCGAAGAGTTGATCGTGAGTTAACCATGAGTTGATTAAACTGCTCGAACATGGTTAGACAATGTGTTAGATTGATCAGAATGTCGTTTTTTTGGAAGCCTAACATTTTTGAAAGTGTTCGGAGTTCAAGTTTGTTGTCTGATTATGTTTTCCGATAAAGGAGGAAATTGAGATATTCTAACTTTGTCTTTATTGAAATGTTTTGAAAATCTCGAGTACAAAGCGAATATACTTTTTTATTCAAAAAAATATGGGAGTATACGAATACTCGTATACGCACCAACTCCCCCCTGCTTTAGAGAGGGGGATAGCTGAACTCGTCTTTAGGCGAGCTGCCTACGTATCTATTTCGGGAATCAAGCAATCTCGTAGTTCTGATTGTTGGCGACAGTGTATTTACTCGGCTAATGCGGACGCGTCGATCGCTTTAGTAGCTGGATCGATGTATTTTTCCGGGTTTTTCTCCTCCGGTTGAGTAGAAGTGATGGGCTCGGAAGCTTGTTGCTTTTCGTCCGTTGC